GTTCTACATCACTTAATATGTGTTAACATTTCCGCGTTATTTCTTTTTACATCTTTCTTTTTCTAAATCTCGCATTTCAACATTTTCCCAATAAAATTCATGATTTCATTTTATGCTATAGTCAAGTATTACTGATTTTTTAGTTATCATTGATTGGTCACCAGATAACTTTGCAGTTATATATTACAACAACATTACTGTAATATTACAATATTGCAGCAATGTTGTTGCAAAATCTGTGCTATTCTGGGCAGTTATTACTGATTTTTTAATTTTCGATTTAAAGTATTTTTTGAAATAAATTTTTAACTTTGCAAACTTAGGTCTTTTTCTACTTATGAAAAAGGAATATATATCCTAATGTTTCATTTTGTCAGAAACGAGGACTCTCTCTGTTTGCGTTGCTGGTCTATCGTTCTGACGGTCATACGAGGCTGGCGAAGAGCGTTGTTTTACTTACCATTGTCCTGTCTCCTGGCGTGGCGACCTAATAAACTTTGGCTATCCTATGTTGCAGGTAAGTACGTTGGCTCCTTAAGTGATTCCTTGTTATATTTCCGTCAGCTTTGTTAGATATATGTTATATTTGCAGCCGGCCTGCTGGCGGTACTATCCTTACTATATATTGCATCGAGCGCGCTAGAACGACGAGATACTTGCCAATCGAGAATAGGCATCGATTCGGTAGGTGAGAGCCTCTTGAATTCCAGGCAAGAAAATTATGATCGCTTCGAGGAAGTTCTGGTAAGTGTTTCCAAAATCGATAATCGAAATTTTACAAGATGCGCACTCATTAATTTTAATCTATCTTCTTGATTTTTTCACAAAATATTCATTTATTATATATATGTCGTTTTTCGATCGTCTCTATTCATCATTGTCTGCTTCACGAGGTGACGGAGGTCCTTGATGATGGCGTGTCAGGATCAGGACGCTGTCCCGGGGATAGCGACGGAGAGATATGACACGAGCGACGGTCCTCCTGGGCCAGCGAAACTGATGAAGATAGCGAACTTGAACAGAGAACATGTCAGATAGCCACATTGTCTTAGTTTCTGGCAGTAAACCAGAAAAATTTCGCCTTGATTTCATCTATGTCGAGGAAAATCGACATCGATTGAATATCTGATGGTTCCGATGGCTTGTGGCAGGAACAAACGCGAGAAATGTGCAAGACCAATATAATGTCTTTTAAAATTATATGACTGAGATAATGTCAGAGGAAAATCATCATGGAAGATCCAATAAATTCAAGAGTAAAGAGGATGAAATGTAAACTAATTTGTAAATCTGTGACGAAAGAAAAACGATAATATTATCGCTGGATATATTATCGCCGTGCGTGCATCTAAAAAAATGAATGTAAGCGAATATTTTTCTTAGATAGAAAATCTCGTTAAAAATGATTTTCTATACATTATGTATTTAGAACATAATAGGTACAAATGTATAGTATATTGCATAACATGTACAAAACAGTCGTAAAACTTCATTACGATCATTCGATATTGCTATTAAATATAAAGTTGCTAATAAATATTTATTAAAAATATTCTTTTCAATGAATTTATTTATGTAAACAAATCTCTCGCAAAAAAGAATATTTTCTTTTTATACACTTAAAAGAATAAAAGTAAAATGAATAAAAATGTTAAATTAAAAAGTTATATTACAGATATCATCACATAAAGATCTGATGATCACATAAAGATCTGCAACTTAAAGAGACAGATATGATTATATTTAATTAAGATTTGAAGAAAGAGTAATAAGGTTCAATTGGACATTATTATTACTCAATGTATAGATATAAATTAAAGTATAAAGATGAAATTAATAAATGTTGTCAAAATATCAAACATTAAATCTTGAAAATTATATGCTCAAAAATTTCATATATAAAATATATTCTGTAAGATGTTTATAAATATTAATTATCTCTTATAAATATTCCAAAAAATAAATTTTCAACAAAACTTTAAATTTAAGTTGTTTATTTAAAAATAGAAATATATATAGTAAAATAAAATAAAAGTAAAATAAATATAGTAGAAATATATATAGTATCACGAAAAAATATGGTTATATTAGTTTTAAAAAAGATTTTCAAAATGTTCTGATTTGTAATATCCTAAATTTTAAGATCATTCAAAATTCAATAATCTTTACAAAAAGCGAGTTCTACCTATGTGATTATTTTTAGCTATCATGTTTAATTTCTTGAGTGAATTTTTCATGTACTTAAAAAATCCGGATTTTTCTAATAATTTAATGCAACATTAGCAACGATTTATTATTCGCAAATAAACAATTGCGTACAAGTAACTTGTACAGTACAAGTAATTGTGTGCAGTAACTTCACAAGTGTTATCAATTTAAATGTTATTATCTGCAGTTAATAATGTATTGATTGCAAATTGAAGACAACTTATTATTATCAGCATGTTATCTATAACATGTTACCAGTGACGGTATATATCAAATAATGGCCACATTTAGCAGAATGTTTATTTTGTAACTATTTTATGACACAGGGATTTCTCGATTTTTCTTATATTTTTTATTATATTTTTGCTGACGCTATCTAATAAAACAGCTCATATTCGGCTGATGTTCGATTTATAACATAATATGTAACATAAGTGCGATGTTCTCGATATGTTTGGCTATCTAGAAAATTTTGTAAAAACACTTTATTGATGTACATTTTTGATGTACATTTTTGATACATATTTTTATAAATTATTTTTTTTCGTAATCATCTCTTTTTGCTGCTTAGACATCTTTAATAGCAGATTGTCTTGTATAATATTATAAAGAAAACTTGTATAATATTATAAAGAAAATAAAGAAAAATATTATATTATATAATATTATTTTATAAAATAAAAATTCTATAAATAATCTAAAATGTGCCAGTTAAGAGATCTTTAGGCGCATCTTTAGTATCCCAATTCTTGAGCTCATCCAAAATCTTCATCAAGAGCGGATTGCCACCTAAACGTTCAATTTCAGTTCTTGCTGCTAAATCTAATTCCTCAAGTACGTTTCTTGTGTACTTGAAAGAACCGAATCTTTCTAACAATTTAATGCAATGACGTTTTACTTCAATGTCTTTTGTCCGTTGTCTTAAGATATCTTTATTAGACATTAAAGAAAGCTATATTTTAAATAAATAATAATATAAAAATTTTCAAAATATATAATATATTTAATGAAAAAAAAAATTATATCAATTATAACAAATTTTTTCACTAAATAAAAATAACACTTGATAAAGGATACTTATTATTTGCCTGTCATCAGGATTGCTTGTAAGTGCATGAATAATCGGGAAGCTGAATTTTCCCTCAGTCAGATCTTCGCAATAACTTTTATTCTCAGTGTACTATAACAAGAATAAATTTGATTAATTAAAGTTCATTTAATTAAGTAAATATCACTTACCTCACCAAGGCACAAATTACAATAGTCATCCCGTATTTGAAAATATAATCCTAAAGTAGCTATTAATGATGAAAAATCCTCTTCATTAGTTGAAAATAGTTTCATTAATCTTACAGCCAAGTTGAAGAGTCCGCCAGTTTCTGCAAAATTAATATTTAAATTTCGTTTCACGTAAATGATTTTTTTATATGTATAGTATTTTTTAAATCTTTTTTGTTGCAGCTCCTTTACAAGTAAAAGAACACAACATATAAATGCACATATAAACCTTTCATTTTTGAGCTTATATTCAATATTTTATTTATAACACCATGTAATAAAAAAAACTTCTAAACGAAAAACTCGATACGTTCGTGAAAGAAGAGACGAAATCTAGCAGAAATGTGTGAAAACAACTTATTTATGTTTCTTATGCACATTTAAAATTTAAAGATCATTTCGGCCATAATGTAAGATGAAATTTTGCAATCGTTTATCAAGGTATCAAGTATTTCTACATTATTAAAATTAGTCACTGAATTCGAAAATAATAAAATTACAGCAATTAAAGCACAGAGAAATAAGAAAACCGCATTTTTATTTTTAATTAAAATTGCTTAAATTTTTCTTTTTCTGGCTTTTCTATGATTTTTTTTATGAATGTTAATGAAAAAAATATATTTTTTCGAAATCTACTGTGCGAATATTTTAGAGGTACACACATAACAAAAATTATTATGATTCGTATTTTCTTTTATTTCTAAATTTAATTTTGTTTTCATTTTATACTATGTAATGTAAATTGAGTAGGCTGAAATGTCAAACTGTTGTTAAAATATAAAAGTGCACTCATGTGATACTTCAGTCATAAAAAATCATAAAAAGACCGAAAAAAAAGAAAGAAATTTTGATGCAAATTTGAGCAATTAAAAATGCATTTTTTTCACCATGCATTTTATTCTACTTCAATCGCTTTTATTTTATTATTTTTAAATTCAGCGATCAATTTAACATGGAAATACATAATTTTTAGACAATCACAAAATTTTATTTTACCACACCTTAAATGACTTTTAAATTTCAAATATACATAAAAAACATAAATAACTTGATCTCTTGGAAAAGAATATACTTTTATGCTAAATTTCATTTTAATTTTTATGAATATGTCGACTTCTTCATGTATGAAAAAAATAATTTTTTTGTTATATAGTATAATAATAATTTAAAATTTATATCAATAAATATTACCAAATAAATATTACCAAAAAATGTATCTAAAAATATTATCAGAAAAATATATGTAAAAATTATTTCCCTAATTGCATCTTATATTTAAATAGGTTTATTTAAATTTTCTGTTTTTAATAAAATTTGTAAATTAAATTAATGTAATTAATTATAAATCTAATTAATGTTATTACTATCTAATTGTAAATAAAAAAATGAAAATTTTGAGAATCCTCGCGATTCTCCTATCCTGATAATCATTTTGAAAAATGAAACTGCTATATATAAATAAAATATTAATATTTACTTCTTATTGTCATGGTCTTGTAATCTTCTTCAGTTGGACAAATAAAATTATCTCTCCAAAAAATATCCATTCCCTGACCTCTGTGAAGTTCCAGCAATTGTTCCATATACACTTTCGTTGCCTAATAGAAAATCAGAAACATAAGAATATCTTTTTTATACGTGTTTAATTATTTAACAAATAGTCAATGTATTACTATCAATATTATTTTAAGTAGATTTCTAGATTTTCCAAAGAAACAACTGGTATATGGAAAAAATAATATTCCCTAAGAATTTAAATATATTTCTTAACATATCACAAAAGTTAAAAGAAAGATATTAAACATTTAAAATATATATCATCGTGATTCATTTTGGATGTCGAAAGCTCATCAAAATTATCTAAAGTTATAGTATATATCACTTACTGTCGGTATAATAATATATCACTTACCGCTGGATGTTGTAAATTAACAACTCTCTCCAAAGCAACAAATAATACGTAATTAGCGGCACTTAATGAGCTAGCAATTCCATAAACTGAATGCGCAACAGGAATGCCTCTTCGCAAAATAGAATTATCTTGAATATCATCAATGCTATAAAAAAATAAATAAACCAAAAAGATAATTTTCTTCTTCTTGCAAGAATGACAGAAGAATGTGTAATCAAAAAAGTGTATTAAATAAAATCGCATCGAATGTGACAGAAAGAAAACTTACACAATACTTGAATTGTGAAGCATATTTACGATCTCATCGATCGCTTGTAGTCTATCGTCCGATATTCTTAACCAGTAATTAAAAGCTTTTGCTAATTTCGCTCTTATTTGTTTCCCGGGAACTTGAAGAATATATCTGATTGGTTCCAATAATTTCTAAAAAAAAAAAAAAAAATTGTTTAACTTTTTATGAAACTGAACTATGATACCTAGAGAATCATATAAATTTTAATTTTTAAAAGAATACATTTATACATATATATAAATATATATATATATATATAATATATTAAATATATATATTATATATATCATATATATATATTATATATATATATATTATATTATATATATACATATTAATTTAATATACATTATTTTTATTTCATTTTTGTATGTTTAACTTATTTGATATTTAACAATTCAAAATCTTCCTACAAAATAATTATTTTATTATTATTTTTACAAATTAATTATTTTTTGTTTCTTATATTTCATTTCAGAGGGTATTCATGATCAAAAATTTTTATTATCCATTAAAGAAAATGTTAATTTAAATATTTTGACAAAAATATTAAAAATCATTATTTTATTTACTTTCATTTCTTTACAATCTAAATTTATTTGATATTCCATAAAGTATAAAAAAAATATGTCCTAAATTTTTATTAAATTTTTTCTGCTATTGTATGACAAAGATATAATACAGAATCATAAATATCATACATTTTTTTATTACAAGACTGTCATAAATAATATCTTAAAATTTAATATTAATATGAAATTTTAAATATAATTTTAAATATATATCATCGACGAGATACTACTATTAAATATCATGAAGTCTGGATGAATTTTTTAGGAGACCTAAAGATAATTGAAGAATATTGATATTAGAAACTATTGTAATAAATTTATGATCGTTAATATAAATATTTGAATAATAAATTATTCAAATTCATAATTTAATGATACAAATGCTCTATAAATAAATGCACACTTTATTGGTATAATATTATATACATATATGTATGGCTATAAAATTACAATCTTTTTTATAATTATCATTTTTTACAAATAATAATAAAATAATTATAAGCACAATTATCAAGCACAAATACCTATAAATTTTTAGTC